GTGCTTAGAAGAAATTAGGGAGGGGGTTTACAGGTGTCTTTAGTGGTGTCTCAGGACAGGAGGTTGGTTGTAGCACCAGCTCCTCTGTTGTTAAAAGTTTGCAGTGTGATTCTCAAATGCATGGCTTGGCCAAATTAAAAACTTGGCTACAAAGCCACAGCCCTTCTCGTGGATGGAGCTGTCACGACCCAGACTGGACAGACCAGGGAGTCATGTTTAATTTGAAATTCCCTCGGGCTAAATTAAGTTGAAACGACACCAAAAGATCAGTTAAAGATTTTATTCATGACAGAAGCAAACTGAACTGGGGAGGCATGGTAGTAGGTGGCAGGGTTTCTCACAACAGGAATTGGCATAAGACTACTTCTGTAAACAGTGTAACCCAGGGTAGCCATATACATTGATTCAGGGAATAAGGAGATCCCTCCTGCTGAGTCATGAGGTTCAGAGTAGACCCCCTTGCTTTCCAGGCTCCTCCTAGGGGTGGCTGGATCCACTCTTAGTCTCAGACTTGGTCAACGGTTTATATCTTGAAACGGACAAGGTGTAGGGATTGTGGAAAAGGAAGAGGAAAGAGAGAAGAAGACAGAGAGAGAGAAAGGAAGAGAGAAAGATTTCACCGGTCCTGGGTCCAGCATTGGTTCAGTCAGCCGAGGGGTCCAGTCAGCCGAGGGGTCCAGTCCCGGTGGGCTTGCACTCCTGGGGCTTCAGTGTGTGTCCTTTTGTCATCCTTGCCCCTCCTTCGGGTGGGCACCCAAACTCATCAGGTTAATGAGCAGTTGGTGAGCCTTTGGGCTTGGGGGTCGTTTGTGGAGTAACTTCTCCTTCCCTGCAGACAGGGCCATTGTTTGATCTTTGTATCAGAAGAGCTTATCAGAACAGGGAGCTGCGCACCCTCCAGCACGCCCTCCCCCTCCTGTTGCTGAGGTCTGAGCTGAAGGGCTTTTCACCTGGGTTCCTTGCTGTGCAGGGTTTGTCTTTAAGCAGAACTTGCCCCACCACAATGTTCGAGACATTAACTCTTTCAGTCTCTGACAGGAGCCAAATTTCACAATGGTGTAATTCATAATTAAATAAGCACTACAGGATGCTGGGGGGGGGGGGGGGTTGTACCAGCATGAGATATGAGTTTTGGTTTTGTTTTCTCGTCCTCTAAAGTAGCCAAAGATAATTTGATTAAAACTTGCAGCAGAAAGTCATCCGCATGAAGAAAATGCCAGTTGTAGTTGCAGCCGCGCTGTACGGAAGATGTAGGCCTTCTGGGGGTGGGTGGGGGAGTCTTGTTATTAGACTGATTGCTACAGCTTCTCAGAAGAAGAGCTTGTAAGTCCAAAAGCATATCCATCTTCTGTAACAACTGCTCTAATAGCAGTTGTCCATACGGACCTGGGTATGATTTGTGGTTTTGATTAATCTTTCAAGGGAATAAATGTCCAAAAGTGATCAGTGAAAGGCTCCAACGGATGGCACCGAGAAAGAGAGGTTGATCTCTTTCAGCATGAGTTAGTTTATTGATCCAGGAGAACAGATGTTTTGGTAAGGTCATGCAGTGTTTGGCTTGATTACATGCCCAGTTTAGGACATACATCTGCTATGTGTTTTACCTAGGTGGGTGACTGGAGTCCACCAGGTGGGTTGGGGTGGGAGGTAGGAGGATAGAGAAGGAAGGGCTGTCACACGAATTCAGGTCACCTCCACCTGGGCAATTTTGGGAGCTGGAAGTTAGCTGCCACAGTCAGTGAAGAGAGTTGAGTGAGCCAGGAGAAGACTGTGGCCCGAAAAATGCGTTGACTCAATACATCATATCGGCAGTCTCTGCTGGTGGGTCTCCTGAGCGTCATCAATTAACGTGGGGCGCTGGAGCAGCCTGGCCTCCCTCCGGTGTGGATGCTCCATCTGCCTGGCTGGCTGGCGAGGCTCCAGGGGAACTCGGGTCCCACCCCCAGCTCCTGCGGGGATGAGTCAAGCCCCTTTGCCTTAGATGACTGCCCACTGTATGCAAACCTCGACTGTTATGTCCCATTCGCTGAATGGATTTGAACATACTGTAGTGCAAACGCTGGTTATGGCAGGAGAGCTCAGTTGGGAAGGATCAGCTCTGTGGGCGACTATTGGGCTAAACGTGTCACCCATATGTGTAGCACACAGACTGGATCTACCAGGCAGTGGTCCCCCAGGATGTGTCACACAATGTCCTTCCAGTTGTAAATGCAGAAGGGATCAAATAGTTTGGAAAGAATCTACTTCTGTGATTATTGCTACTCCGAATTATAAAGGACCCAAAAGCCAGAGCTATTCGCTGCACTCGCTCTTCAGACCAGTGCTCAAAAGGCAGAGCGCTGCTTTTAAGAAATATGGTTTTTAGAGAACAAAAGGGGAAGCAAGCGCTACAAAAATTTAGTTAAATGTAAATGTGTTAAATGGTACATGAACCAGTCAGGTTTTCATGATTTATCAGTTTTAAACTTCAAAGGCTCTGGTTAGCTTGCATTTTTAAAACTAATGAGTTTATCACAGTCAGTGGGGAAAAATGGTTCAAGTATATCAGCTGTAAATTGGTACAAAGCACTAAAAGGGACATTAGCCTCTAATCAGATTCTAACAGTTCATTAAACCTGCTTTTCCTCGGTGGCGCTTTGTCTTCCCCCCTCCTCCTGCCTGCACCTCCTGCTCAAGCCAGCCTCGTCCCTTCGTTCAGGCGGGTAAGACCTCCTCAGGGACACGAAGCTGTATCAGCTCATCCTTCTTTGTCTATGAGCTAAACAGCCTAAGGGATGCGTGATGATGGTATATTCCTGATCTTGCTGTAAAACTCAACTGCACAGCGCATAAATCAAGAAGGGAGAGGGACCTCTCTGCTTGCAGAATAGGCGCTGGAGGAGCCAGGAATGCCAGGCTGGCTCCTGCTCTCGCTCCACCCCAAACCACATCCAAACTGCTTGAGCTCAGTGACAGCCGAGATCCGCTTCTGATAAGTAAACAGTGCACCGCCCTTGCTGGGAAGAGGGATGCAAAGCCTGCAACAATTTCAGCCAGCTGTTTTGTGGCATCAGAGTCCCTCCTGCTCCTTCCCCATCCCCTGCCTTGAACACTGAATAAAGATACAAGGTGCACAAAAGAAATTGCTGAGAAGGCATAGGAAGAGATTTTTTTTCTTCTTCTTCTTCCTGTGGTGTCGAGCTTAAAATACATAGGCAGCGGTAGCATAGCCTGGACTGGGACATCTCAACAGCTTGACTTGTCTTCATTCACACATCTGTGAATGCAGAGGCATTCTGCTGAAAATTACTTGTTTGATCTGAAATTTTATAACTTCAGCATTTATGAACTATATAAATGTACTTTTTAAGGAAAAAAGTGCAGATTGCGTTTGCTGTTGCATTTGCTTGTCTGCTTTACCATCAAGTTCCTGCCTGCCCTGTAGTATCAAACCGCAGCTCTGCCTGCTGTAACACATGGGGTTCAAAGTGAGGGTGACGGGGATTTTAAGCAGGTCATTTGCTCTGCCTGTGGCACCCTGTTGGAGCTTGGGCGTATTGGTTTCCCTGCTTTTCAGTATGTTATTTAAATTACAATAAAGTAAAGGAGTATACAGAAATAAACAGTTGCTGCAATATTTATATCCTTGAAAAAGAAGATCCTGGGATGAGGTGCGTTAATTGGAAAAAAAAAGAAATGTTTAAAATAATTTAAGTTTTTAAAATGTATTTTGGAAGCTCTGTTACGACAGACCATTTTCCTTAAAATTCCCCTGAAGCAGCCATGGTAAGAAACGGGGCTATGAACATATTCCTTATGAATAACAGCACTACACAGTACTGAACAGATCTGCTGCCCATGAAACACAGGGAAAGTGTTTTTTCCATTACAGTGTGGTTATTGAGGACTACGAGGTAACAGTTACAGTGGAGGTGAGTCTCCAGTCTCAAGTACTGCCTTCCAGATGGGGCTGCAGATAAGTAAGGGGCTGTGAAGGAGTCACTTATAAGCTATATGTGCTATAGTTTCACTATCTGAAAAATAGCTGTGATGTTCTTTGTATTTCTGTACCGCTGACCAGGGCGTCTGGATTCGTAAGGTCAGATTCTAGCTTGAGGGATAAAATGTCTTTTATTCTGTCCATGTTGTCCAAACTAAATGGCAGCTGAAGGGGCTAGCTTTCAAACAGCAGCCTTGAGCCTTGGCCGGAATAGAAAATTGACTCAGGTTGAGGTAGTGTTTGAACTGAAGGCACAAGAGGTTGTTTTGCATGTCTACATAAACTGCTTCAGCAACAGTGGGATGAGACATTCGGAGCAGGGATGTTGATTGAGGGAAGCACAGTTCTACAAATCTGTCTTCAGATTGAAGCTTTCAGCATATATTGCCCATTACTACAAGGACAATGCATCCTTTTAACATGGTCTTTTATTTCTTTTGTGTCAGAGGTGAGTGTGTAGAGATTTTCATTGACAGATGCTGATAACTTTACAAGGTAATGAATGATATGAAATCTGAGGAGTTGTTGATGTGTATTAATTTATGGGGGGGGTGTCTGTGTACAGGCTTTCACTAGAACTTCTCTGAATTGAAGCATATGCTTTCTCTAGGTAATACAGAAGTACAAACGATTTGATTGAAATCAAATATACCTAAGTATACTGCCAAAAACCTGCAGCTATTTGACATCACTGCTCTCCTTTCCAGCTCTAAAGCAAGGAATTTATATATGTGCTCCTGCGTGATTAATTTCAAATTAAAAAATAGTAATTGGAGATGATTTTCCCTTGTTGCTTACAAAGACTTAGCTTTCTTTTAAGGATAATTGAAAGTATAATTTACTATTTTAACAGAAGTAGTAACTTGGTAGCTACTCCTTAAAATTAATATTACATCTTTGCTAACTTTATTTCTGCTAAAAGAAACTTACTTGTGTCTACAATATTACAGAACTAAACCAGTGAATTAAACCCGGTGTTGTTCATCATTTTTTTGATTAACCTTGTCCTTTTCTGCCTTAGGACATCAGCGCCTTTGAGAACAGAATGTTAATGCTTGATGGGATGCCGGCAGTCAGAGTTAAAACAGAGCTGCTGGAATCCGAGCAAGGGGTAAGCAGTTTCTGTGCAGCCTCACTCTGCAGCGCGGTAGTGACCCTTCCCAAGCTTCTCTGTGGTTAGATGTCCCTCCCGTTGTACTGTCATTTTCTTTTCTATGTTTTTCTTCATTTCTACCGTTTTGGAGCTCATTTTCTTGGGAGATGTAGTGGTGAGCATCTAGTCTCATCGGTTGGGAGCACAGAACAAAACTCTGTGGAAGACTTATTGGAATTATCTGTCATAGCTGAGATGCTGTTGGTGTAATTTTATGATTATAAAAAAAGGTGCAGTTTAAAAAAATGGGAAAAAATAATGGATTACAGTAAAGAGGCCAAATTCTTGTGTCTGAGAAGCCCGTACGTATCTTTATGTTCTGCCTTCTTGGAATATTTGCCTTACTGTGGTTGTTTCATCCTTTATATGCTTGTCCTACTCCATTTTCTGTTTGTGCAAACCTGCTCTCTTTCTGGTGGAATACACTTGTTTATCATTATGTTAAGAGGGCTAAAAACCTCAGATGGTTAAAGCTGGTATCACGTCGACTGCTGAATACAAGACAGAGATCATGAATAGGACTCTCAATTTTTTGCAGAAGAAGGGTTTGGCATTTGAGTGGTAGATTTATAAAAATGGAAGACTATGTTTTTGAACATATTAAGGGTATTTTCTTACATATGTGGTAATAATTATATCAGGGATTGTAGATTACTATGAGGGCATCTGTATTTAATGGATTTTGTGTTATCATGAACCTTTATTTCCTTGTGTGCATCTTAAGTTATCCCAAAGAATCCAAGCCACTTTACTGCTCTGAAGACAGATGCCCTCAACAAGCAGAGAGCATAATAAAAGCAGCAGTGCTGTTGCCATGTAGGGATGGCCTTTTGCCTCCTTCTGCTAGTTGGCTTTTTTTCTTCCTGCTATTTTCTCAATTATTTAATTGAGAATTTAAATGATATGGAAGAGAGGGAATTAACTTTCAGGATGACTTAATTTGAAAGACTTGCAAGGAGATATCAGTTACTCAGGATTTTTTTTAAGGCTTTACGTTTGAGAGAAATAAAACTTGACATTTAATGGAACTCTTGCTCATTTCTGCCTTCTTGAGAGCAAATACCCTCAGAAAATACTGCAATACAAAGTAGTTTGAGGAAACATAAAAGTTGGACTATTGTAGGAGCCACGAGGATGAAAAGACGGATCCATTAGAGGTAATTTTTAATACCTTCTGGATGCTTTGCATCATGTCTTTTTATGTAACATAAACCTTTCTCACTATTGTTCAGAAGACAAATGTTTATTGATATTTGCCTTTGTCTAGTTTAAAAGAAATTCTATGCATAATGCATATTGCTGGGTCCTTTATGAAGAATACTTCCTTTAGCAAAGTGTGATTTGATTCTGGAAGACCTATTTGGTGTCTTAGGAACTGGAAGGAAATGAACAATTTATATAGTTTTTTAATTTCCTTAGGGTTTTTTTAATAAAATTTTACAGACTTCTGTGTAAGCAGAAAATGATGTCATTTTTTTTTTTCTTTTCCAGTGACTGAGCCGTTAGACAAAGAGCTCGGTTTGATTTGGGATTTTATGCACTTTGGTACTAATTAAGTAGTGTCTGGTCAAGAGTCTCTGGCACCTTTATGACTCTTCATTAGGGAACAATCAATAAATACAAAATGAATTCCCCAGTTCACTAACAGAGGAGCTAGCCATTAGGATGGCAATTTTCCAGCAAACAGCTTAAACTCTGAAGAGAAAGGTGGTTGAAACAGATGTTTAGCATGTGCTTCAGAGACTGTTGTGAATATGTAGATGTTGGTAGACATAACAGGGACAAGTGCTTGAAGGATGCGAGTACCAAAAACAGCACGTGGAGCTGTTTGTGAAGATGAATATCGTGAGTGAAAAGCATGAAGCGGGAACTAAAGCGTGATCCCAGGTAGTGTGAATTTGAAATTGCGATCTCTGTCTGTGGTGTTACAGTGCCCAAAGTCCCTACAGTTGCACCTCCATCGTAGTGTATGTTTTTACAGGGAGATGTGATTTCTACTTTGAAAATTTGCAAACTAAGACAGCATTTTGAGTCTTCTGAAGGTAGCGGCCAAAGTGTCATCACTTAGGATGCTGAACACTAGACAAGACTAGACAAACTTTTCCAAAAGCTGTAGGGAGATGGATGGTTTTTTTGCAGTTCCTGCATGGTATCTGCTATTGGCTCTAGGTTTGCTTCAAGGGCAAAAGTGAGACATGGTTTAAGGGTTATGAAAAGAAAGTTTAATCTGTGGTTAAGGGATCCTGAAGGCTGTATCAGTTGCAGAGGAGTGAAACTAACAGAGTCTGAAGCACCAGTGGTCCTCGACCAGGGTGGTGAGCGCTGAGCGGTCAGAGCAGAGAGCACTGAGTTGCTGTACCTCACTAATGAGGCTTTGGAGGAGCTGGGATAATATCATCTGTTCTTTTGTCTGAGAAGGGCTATGAGACCACTTTGAATTGTCTCCTCTTTAAGTCTGAGCCCATATTTCAAATAAACATGTTGTTGGTTTTAAAACCAATCACGAACCTCCCACAGCTACGCGAGTAGTTACCCGTGCTTGTTGTGAATGCACGCACCTAATTTTTAATCTGAATTCAGCATCAGCTTCCTGCCTTTTCCAGTGGCAACAGAAGAATTCTCTCGTGGTGCTCTGTGACGGTCTTGCTTAGCCCTTTTGGGGCCAGGCCACACAATGCATGGTGAAGCAAGGGGGGTTGCTCCTCGGGTTGCTGTTGCAGTGTGGGAGGCTGCCACATGTGATAGCTAAGCAGCCTGGTCTTGGCGGGTCCTCTGCGTTAATGGTGATAGGTGTTTTTTACAAGGCAATCAGTGCAAAACTTTATTGAAGTTAAGATGAAATTAACTGTGGGCTCCAAGGATATGTGCCTACTTCTTGTAGGGATATTGAATGCTTTCCTGCGGGGCACATGAAGATGTCATCCAGAAAAGGTGCTTTCTCAGTAGCTGTGCCTTGATTAGCTGTCCCTTGTTCATGACCTCCAAGGTGGGATTCACAGAAAGGACCTTGCTGGGGGAATGTGGATATTGTTTGACCGTGCACGCGTGCACTGCCGTGTGGGACACCCAGCCAGTCCTCCCCGCTGTCCTGGCTCTCGCCGTGCTGGCCTGATGAGAGAGCAGCCAGTAGAGTCGAGTCTAATCGCACCCTGGGCAGTTGTTGCATGGAGCCAGGCGGGCGTGCTTGGAGGGACGGCAGGCTGGTGCTGGGTCATATCCCACCCGGGTGCTGGTATGCCTCATCACCTTCGTGTTCCCAGGGCGTCCTGTGCGTTACAGCTGTAGGTGAGGTAAAGGTGCAGAGCTTTTCTCGGGAGTCGCTCGGTGCCAGTGCTCCATTTCTGGCAAAGAGTCGGGGCCAGAAGGAACCCCTGTGACTCTGAGTTTGGCTCCAAGACTGCAAGGAGATGAGCGAAATGCATACATCCCTGCTTCAAATGGGAATTGTCGTAATGATGTTATGTGTACGATTCTGGCCTGGTGGATTACTTCAGCAGATGATACGATCACAGCGTTTGAGTCCATTTTTACTCCAAGGTTTCAATTTATTTCATCATTTGATGAGTGTAATGATTAAACAAAGTGTGTTTATCCTAGGACTTTGTTACAAGCCTTTTTTTGAAATTCATGTGTCTCCTTACAGTTTGTGAACAGTAACCCATCAACCTATTGACTCGAGCAGGAGAAAATACCACTGCTTAGCAACCTTGATAAAGTGAACGATGATCACTGCGGTAACTGGACAACAGAAATAAAAAGCTCAGAAAGTGGTAACATTCCCCTTCCTTTTACACCTACTCCACCAAAATGGAAGCACAATAGGAGAAAAAAAACCCAAAGAGATTTTATACAAACAGCACCTGCTTTTAACCTTAAGTTGGTTCTTCACTTACCTTTTGTGGCATATGGCTACAGTGAAATAGGCACCATCTGGCCACGTGCATTTCGTTAATCAGAAATTCATCTTCCCTGTGCTGCTCTGACTAACCTGGTCTTCACCAGGTGTTGTCTCTTGACTACATGTGGTGGTGGTAGGAGTAGAAATCCTCCATGATGTAGATAAGAACCAGGACAGAGCAAATCATTGAGCCAAGACTAGCATTTTCTACTGTATTTGGATACTAAGCCAGGCAGTCAATCCATTAATTCTTGTGTTGCTTTTGGTTTTCCTATTGGAGTGTCCTCAATCTTTTTGCAGGAGAGGTTAAGTATAACGTATGGTTCTTCTGTACCATCCATGCATAGCCTACAGGGTCTTTAACTTTCTTGTTTGGAGATGTTTTGTTTCATGATTCATCTGTGTCTTGCCCAGTGTTTGGGTGCTCTGTGTCCAAACCGGGGCTGATACCTCTGAAAAGTTTTTAAGCAGTATTCTTAAATAGTATCTCAGTCCTTACACTGCAGAAGCATTCCATATCTAGAGCAAGTGAAGGTGGATTTAAAATGCAATACAGCAGAAGGAATAAGCGAACAAATAAAGTGTAGTCAGCTGAAATTTTAGGGTAGCCCTGAGAGAATGAAGCTGTGTGAGCTACACCCACTGCAAACCAGCCCAGTCTCTAGCTGAGGCTGAAAGGAAATTGGAGCTGATGCCTGTGTTTCAGCTATGCCCCATGCACCACCAGTTCCTTTGAGCCTGTGACTAGAGGAGAGGTGGGCAGGGCTCAGGAGCTACAGCATGTGTCCATGCAGTGAAGACAAACCTCTACCAACCGGGATTTAAAAGACACCGAGTTCAAGCTAGATGCTTGTGGGAGAATGGGATTTAGGCAGCCCGAAAAGGAGACATGCCTCATGAGATATAGGTTACTGGGCAAATTTGGAACAAAGAAGTATTTACAAGGGAAATGGATTTTCTCTTTGCTTTGGAAAAAGTTAAAACAGTTCTGCTTTGTTTTATCGTTGCCAATTTAGAATAGTTAATGATTTTTAGAAGGCCATCAGCATTAGCAAGAACA